TCTCTCTCTCTCTCTCTCTCTCTCTCTCTCTCTCTCTCTCTCCCTTTATTTTTTTTTTTCAGGATAGGGTTTCTCTGTATAGTAGCCTTGGCTGTCCTGGAACTTGCTCTGTAGACCAGCTGGCCTTGAACTCAGAGATCCACCTGCCTCTGCCTCTCAAGTGGTGGGATTTAAGGGGTGCATCACCTCTACCTGGCTTCCCTCTGTTTTTCTGTTTGTTTTGCTTTATTCTTGTTTGTTTGTTCTTCATTGGCCTGTTTGTTCTCTAAAGATAGAGAGAACGGAGGCATGGAGTCTAATGAGTGGGGAAACAGGGAAAATCTGAGAGATGAGGGAGAGAAAGCCATGATCAGAATATACTGTATGAAAAAAAACATTCAAATAACGGGAGGCAGAGACAGGCGGATCTCTGTGAGTTCGAGGCCAGCCTGGGCTACCAAGTGAGCTCCAGGAAAGGCGCAAAGCTACACAGAGAAACCCTGTCTCGGAAAAACCAAAAAAAAAAAAACAAACATTCAAATAAATAAGTGGGCATTCCCTGGATCTTTCCAGTAGTTTCTAGTCCTCAACCACAATCATTTGGGCTCTGATTGAAGCCTGTGGACTCACCTCAGAACATTTTTTTTGTGTGTATAGTGTGTTGGGTGTGTGTGGTGTATGTACTTATTAATGTAGGTGTATGCATATCTGTGTGTGCATGAGGAGATCAGAGGTCAACACTGGGTGTCTTTCCTTGATTGTGTCATGTTTATTTATTCAGTAATTTATTATTTTAGTGCATTTATTTATTTGTGGATATGTATGGGTATGCATGGGCCACAGCACATGTGCAGAGGTCAGAGGATAACTTGGCGGAGTCTGATCTGTCATTCCACCATGTGGGGCCCAGGGATAGAACTTGGGTAACAAGTGACATTAGCCACTGTGCCATTTCACAAACCTGTCTAGTTTATTTTTTTGAGAAAGTGTCCCTTACTGAACCTGAAATGTATCTCATCAATTGGACTTGGTTGGCTGGCCAATGAGCTTTAAGGACTCACTTGTCTCTTTGCCTCCCTCCCTCTGTTCCCCAGGCGCAAGCTCACACCATCATTCTCAGTTCTATGCTTCGCTCCAGGATCTGAAGTTCCCATGCGTGAGCAGTAGGCCCTTTATGGACTGCACTATCTTTCAAGCACCACAGAACATTCTTTAAAATACTTAATAAATATACGAAATCCATCCAGGAAGGCAGTTTCATATGCATATAGCCATCAGACAAATGACATGTATGACGTAACAATTGCACATGCCTGAACAAAACAAGCAACGGCTGCTGTCAGCACCCTGGTCTCAGATGAGTTAAGGCCACCACTTCCCATGTGTGCAGCACATGAAATAATCCTTCAGTCAAAACATCTGTGACTCCTCTCTTGGGAGAGTTACAGTTCTGCCCTGGGGACTGTGTTCTGCAGATCCACAAGTTCCTGACCCCCAGTGGCAGTAGACACTACAATCAGCAGTTAGCAGTGAAAAATAGGGTAATTTGTATCCTTTTCATCAAAGATATGGGTCTCTTGCATTCTAACCCTTGAGTAAGCAAGCTTATGTCTCCCCCTCTGCCTTGCTATGCTTTTCTCCTGGGCCTGGCCCCTGTATGAAGCTCTCTGTAGCTGGAGTCCTATTGAGCTTCCTTAACACTGGCTAGCCTCTGCTCTCTGCTATCTTGACTGCAAGCTCCCTGGAGGCAGACTCCTCCTCCTTCCTTCCTTCCTTCCTTCCTTCCTTCCTTCCTTCCTTCCTTCCTTCCTTCCTTCCTTCCCTTCCTTCCTTCCTTTCTTCCTTTTCTTCTTCTTCTTCTTCTTCTTCTTCTTCTTCTTCTTCTTCTTCTTCTTCTTCTTCTTCTTCTTCTTCTTTCTTCTTCTTCTTCTTCTTCT